GTATCCTATGATAGAAGCTATCTGGTTTTGTTTTTTGAAATTATTTTCTTTGTTTCCTATTAGGATATTAGATATTTCATTTAATATTTTACGACATATCTTGCAACACTTGTTAAGTGAATCATTGCAGTTGATAAGGTAGTAACCAAGTTGTTAAGTTTGACAAGACTTTGCAAAAAGTGACATGACCTTGGTATGGGGATCTGCAAAAGTTTTAACTGTGAAAAATGTCTTAAGTCACTTTTTTCAGTGCCACTGTAACTTTGAGCGGTCACTAACTGAACTGTTGTAAGTCGAGGACTACTGTATCTTTAAAAATAAAAATAAAAGAAGTGCTACAATAAGTAGTTTAAACCTTGGCAAGTTTCAATTGGTGATACCCAGCCTGATTAGCCACCATTTCCATCCAATGCCAGTTTGCAGATGGTCATTTGGGATCCTGGACTTTGGCTTGAGATTCCTAGTTGCCTTATTGTTTTGTTTTGATGTCCTTTTCTCACAATAACTACAGCATAAGACTGTGACCACCAAGTAGAAGAATATACGTAATTCAATGAACTGTCATAAAGACCAATGCAACAGTAGGTCATGCTTGTGATGAGATGGGTGCCACAAGCATCTCACCTTCACTTTCTTGAGCACCTCAAACCCTTCTATTTTGCCAATTCGGAAATGATTCAGATCAACATCCTAAAGTGCAAAAAAATAATGGAAAAATGTAAAATCAAATTTATTTCTAAATCAGGAAGATACAGAGACTTACCAATCAATGTACATTTTAAGGAATTTACTCAAAACAAATGTATTGATAGTATAGACACAAGAAATACATTTATTACATAGCAATGAGAATATTTGCAGCTAAAGGTCTTCCACAAGAAATAATCCATTCATCCTTGTTAATTGTAATTCATGTACTATTCAGGATGCATAGATACTTAATCTAAACAAAGAACATTCATTCTGAATTTCCAGTTTCAGCATTTAAAGAAGAGTTAATAGTACATGCAAATGCATTTCAAAATCTGTATTTGCCCCCTTTCCCATTTGAGACGTTTCTACCAAATTTCTTAAAGGAACAGAAATATATAGATATTAATTGCAATTTTATTTTAAACTGAGAAATCATTATGTCGTAATCCATCATGCTCATTGCCTATTGTCACACTCTGTCCATTTTTTCTTTTTATTATTTATTTACAATCCTGTCACCGCTGTTACACAATATTACCATGAATAAGTTATTCCCTCAGTTCCTGAAGTGGTATAAGTAAGATGTAAAGAAGTTATTTGTATTATTGAGGTTTATATTGCTTAGTAATTCTGCATAGCTTTTCCTCCTGATTCAAGCTTCTGTTCCCACAGAAACCATCAAAATGTCTTTCAGAAGTATAGAAACAGCACACAAAAATATTCTGTATAAAATGGACAGTGAAGGACATTATTTTTCACGTCTGATGCAATATGCAAGCAATGCTGCTACTAAGCAGTGATTCCCTTCTTCATGAATTCAAAGAAATTCATTGTGTCTTGCGGCATTAAAATCTTTAGCTGCATGTATCCTGAACCTCCCATTTAATTAAGCCATTATGGAACTCTCAATTCTTATAATACAACAACATATTTAGTGGCCATAAAATGTGACTGATTGCTTCAGAGAAGCCTAAAGAAGCTGTGAAGGGAGAAAGAGGATTGAATAAAAATGTTGATATTAGCAGAACTGTTCAGTGCTAGTTAACTAGGACTTACAAAATTGCACAAAATGTCATAGCATTGGAAATAATAAAGGAAATCTTTAAAGAATGAAACCACATATCAATGTGGGAATGACAGATATGGAGCAACTTTTTTCTCACAAGACAGAGAAAGTACTGAATTTGGAACTAAAAATGACAGATCAAGACAACAATTTGGAAAATGATGCTTTTTTGGTGTGGTATACAAAAGAAACTGGCTAAAGTTTTAAAAATTTAAAGGGAAATGACAAACCAAGTAAACATTTTCTCCTTGGTCTAACAAAAGAGGGTTGTTAAATCCTTGATGAAGTGGGATGGGATATAGAAGAATTAAAGAGGAATAAAATAGTAATATTGGAATGCAACAAAAATTAAGACTATTAGATGTAAAAGGAAGGAATATGAAGCTGGTTTACATGATCAAGATTAAAATAAGTTATTTATTTGCACAGTTACCTTTTTGCTGACATTAGAACTGAAAAAGTGATATTTTATGGATTTTCTTATAAAGAAAGGATGAGATGTGGGATGAAGAGGTAAATGTATGTAATTTTAGAGGGGGCGAAGAGTTACTTAATTTGTCTATACTTGTAATAAAGATTGGAAGTCACTGCTTTATATATTTCTTTTCTCATTTTTCTTTCTTGTAGTTTTTATTCTTTTTTACTATTCTTTTTTCATCAAGCTTAGCCTGCATTAGTTTTTAGTATTGCAATCAAACTCCTTAATAAAAATTATATGCAAAGCAGTTTAAAAAATAACAACTCAGGAATTATTCTTTGCCTAAATTTTAGAGAACTCCAAAGCTTTTCACATTGTGTGCAGCTGTGTGCTTCTGTATGAAAGTGACATTTACAAATACCTCGGCCTCTGGATCCAGGCTAATAGTTTCCATATCCACTGGAATCTCTGAATCACCTGTAAAACAACAAGCACATTCTGTGTAAACCCATGGTATTCTCCAACCAAAAGCCAATTTGCAAAGTGAGCTCTTCTCCAAGACAAATTAAGCCTTGGGGCAAAAGAAAAGCTAATGGATTTATATTTTACTGTTATAATGCAAAAGTCATATAAGCTCTTCTCAGCTAATGATCACTTTGGCTAAATCCAAATATAGGGGAAGAAATACCAATGCACTTGTGGAAAACATACATTACCTAATATTGAATTCAATTAGGAAGCAAGAACTAACTCAAATTACTTAACAGCTATCCAAGCAAGCAAAAAATATCAGAAATTTTAAATTACACTTGCATTCTGGTTATCATCTCAGTTTTGCAGTGTGGTAAAAAAAACAAGGCTCTCCTGAAAAGGACTGATATGGCACAGATGTTCTTCCTGGGTTAAATATTGCCAGCAATTCGAAGAAAGCTTTTCTCTTCTGGAATCAAAAAGATTCTTACAAATTCTCTCTTTCTCAATGTGCCTGTGTGAAGATAAACTCAGGGCTTTCTGCTAAATAATTCATGCATGCTCTTATTTGGCAGCTGGGTGGATTTGCTGTTACATATTATTTTGAGCAAAATACAACAGTGCTAAGCATTACAAAGCAATAAGCCTGTATTGTTCAAATTCCTGGGTTATCAGTGAATGAGCAACATGCACATAGACACTGATTCACAGAACATAATCATAAAAAACAAAAAACCAACAGTAGAAGAGCTATGGGTTTGATCACCATGCCCAATGGAAGAAAGAGTTCATTCATCAACAAGTTCTTAGTTTACAGGAAGTCCTCAAATTACAATTGTAACAAAGCCCAGAATTTCTGTCTTGTCAAGATAGTCATAAGTTGAGGAACCCACATAACGGGACCAGATTTTACAATTTTTGGGGTGGCATTTGTGAAGCAAATCAATGTATTCTAATGGCTGGTTTTGGCCAGAAGCAGCAAAATTTGTTGTAAACCGCAGTCATGTGACTATGGAGTGTTTCAATCAGCCATAAAGTGAGGCAGTCACCAAATGTCCAAAATATGGTCATGTTACAGAGGTGTGTGCAGCCATTGGAATTCTGGAACTGGCTTGGAAATAACTTTGGGGGGGGGGGGGGGGGGTCCACTGTAACTTAGAATAGTCACTACGCAAGCAGTTGTTAAGCGAGATTTACCTGAAATTACCTCTTTTCATGTATTTGATTACGTATTCTGCAAAAAAACCCTGCAAATATTTACTGAACACTAAAAAGTCTCTTCTTTTAAACTGTATGCTTTACATTCCTTTTCATGTTTTTTCATTGTACCAACTGTCTTGGTTTTTTTCAATACTATTTTTTGAAACTTTATGACTTTTACTTATCAGCTAGCAATGAAATAAAGATACAAGTATATATGTACATGTATATATATGTGGCTTAATTTCTACTTCCGTCTCATTCTTCCACTATATATCATCAAAAATTTCTTCTGCTTCATGTCATTAGGGCTTATATTCATAGGGTTATTTGTTAGGTTAATATATTCATTATCACTGTTTTTATGACACTTTAATAAAAAAAGAAAGCTAGTCAGTTTACAAAAGCTGTACAAAATAAATAACACACAATAACATCACAAAACATTAAACACTAGCACTGTCTATTTAGATCCAAAGTACTTAACATAATTTATCTCTCTTTGCCAGTGGTAGGTTGCAGGTGGTACACCCCGGTACGGGCATACCGGAGCCTGCCGGGAGCACTGGATACCGTTCCGGTACGGTGCTCCAGAGGGCCCGCCCGCCTGCCTGAGCTCCTTACCGGTCTTTTAAGTCTTTGGAGCTTCCGCGCATGCGCACAGCGCATACAGCCCTTGCGTGATGCTCCGCTGAGCAGCTGGAGCGTCACGGAGGCTCAAGGAGGCGCGCATCCATGTGGATCCCATCACCGGGATCCAGAACCCACCACTGGGATCCGGAACCCACCACTGCTCTCTGCCCAAATGTTTGCTCAAATAACTTTGTTTTAGGTAATCTTCTATATATTAACAATGAAATCCCAATTTTATTTCTGGGGTAGCTGTAGGAGGAGGAGGAGGTCTGGTAATAAAAAGCCCTGAGCCATCACCCACTGTAACCTTATGGGAGTGGAAACTTGGCAGAGTAATCCTGATGTAAAACAGCTTAAAAAGGTTCTGCAACACTGAGCAAAGTTGAAACCGTATTCTTTCTCTGAATTCTCTTGCAAGAGGAAGAGGGGATGTATTGTTGGCAAGCAGAAATATACAGTAACATATGACTCTGCTTGGGAAAGCAGACAAAATTTACCTTGAAATAAAAAGAACCAAATATTTCCCCCTCTTCAAAAATATCATGGAATTATTTAGGCTTGCAGAGTCATTCTCTTTTGAAAATAGTTTGGGATAAAGGAAGATAAAATTTCACATTAATTGGCACACAGAGCAACCACTATAAAAAGATGATTATGTTTGGTAAGCCTAGAAGTAAAGGGTGACATGTATGAATATGAAGCAATTAGTGGAGATACTGCTAGGCATTGAAGTATGGGACACAGCAGGGGTGAAATTCAAAAATTTCCCCTATCAGTTCTGTGTACGTGGCTTGGTGGGGATGGGGGTGTCATGTGACTGGGTGGGCATGGGCAATCTTTTTTTTTCTTTTTAAAGCATTTTTTAACAGCTGGTTCTCCCGCTGTCTTCCATCAAGTGCCCAAATGCAGCCAGACCCACCGTTTGTGACAACAGCTGTGAGCATCTCCCTCATCTTGCTTCATGTAATTGCTTGGTTAGTGGTATTTGTGAAGTAATTGCAGTTTAATTATCTGCAAGGGGAAAAAATCCTAACAACCATATTTGAAAAGTGGTGGCTTGAAAGGAATCATTTTACAAGATACATCAACAAATTGCAGCTTCCTGCAATAACACCTACTCAGAAGATCTTATATTTTAAGAAGGTACTTGGTTGATACCTAGATGCTGGCAGCAAACCTTATCAACCATTAGCACCAGTCAATGGTATTTGTAATGCATTTTTGAATGTTCAGTTGGCTGATTTAATTAATAAAGTAAATAACAATAATAATAATAATAACAATAATGTGCAAAAATTATAATATTAAAACA